AAAACATTTGAACTACCTGTAGAGGGCGATAGCCCTTAGGCTCTGTAATTACTCATATCTGTTAAAACGCAGTTACAATGTTACCATATCGCATCATCTTCGTGTCTTGAGCCTCTGGTCTTCAGACTGAGTCGCTGCTGCTACTTGGTGATTTTTTTAAATAAAGATTCTTCAGACAGTTTGGTGTAGGTGGGTCCGCCTTAACATACCTTGAAATAGTTTACCAATATTTTTTTAGAAAGTTCTTTTAGGAGAGAAATATTATTAAATCACCTGGGAAACACCTTACGAATCTGTGAAACAGTGCGGCTATGTGGCTCTAAGAATATGATATACCTCTACAGCTACGGATCTTGTCGACAATGTCATTTCTAAATGAATTATTTTAAAACTTATGTAAACGGACCTATTTCATGTAAATGCGGAGACAACACGTGAAACAGGAGAAGCAGTTTCAACTTCTGCAAATGTGATAAAAATAATAATCCAGCTACTTTTCAACTATATCTGAGAAACAGAAGAAAAATACCTTAGAATAAAAAAAAACATATTCTCAGTGCGTAATCGACTCAAATATAACTCTAAGCAGTAGTTTTAAACTTTTTCAGTTAAGGAAGGTCCAGCTTATGATGGGAACTTTATATTTCCGGTAAGCAAAGAAACGAGATATTGTTTTAGTGCTTATCTTTGACTTCAAAATTGTAAGTTGATGAAGTATAATTAACTTCCACTCTTAGAAACAGAGGATACTTCGAACTATTATCATTGTAATTTGTTCAGTTCTAACTATAAATCTAACTCTGGGTGAAAAGTAGAATACGGATCTTGAGAAGGATTCTCGAAGCTTCTCTCTAATCCTGAACTATATTGCAACAGCATAAATTATATGTGCAAATGGAAAAAGTTATCTCTGAGGTTCTAGAGCTTGAAATAATGAACCAAGTAACATATAGATCAAATTGAGGTCGTAAAAATAAGATAGAGGCAAATTTTATGGCGATTAAGTTTATCCTTCTATTTCTGATTTAAAAGATCTCAGAAATTATACTATTCCTTTCTCGCGTACTCTTAATTGTGTAAAGGTTAGCACATTGTGTTGTCAACTGGCAGTTTTGTCCTTAAATTCTCAGAGTGCAGTTGCTTACTGATGTTTTTGCCCATTTTTGAAAGCCTAATGGTTTCTGAAAGTGTTAAAGCCGGAAATGCTGACAGTTATATCATTAATATCGCTTTCACGAGCGATATTTATTTGATTATTAATAATGCTGTTAAATATTAACAGCAATTTAACTTCTATTCAAGCGTAATGAGAATTCTGGCTGTTAGAAACTTTCTAGAGCTATTAGAATTGATGGCCAGACATGACTCTTGTGTTAAATAAGCTTATTTAATGAGCGGGAAAACATCAAAGATTTGCTATGTGGCTTTCAGTATTCAAAATATTACTTAAGTTTAGATTAGTATGAAATATTACTCGATAATTCACAAATTAGACATATGTTTCGAGGAAAAACTAAGTATGATTTTTAAATGTGGTTGATGTTTTTTTGGGGTCAGTTACCATTAAGATTAATATTTCGACTTTCATGAAACTGGACAAACACTGAAAAGGGTTCATACACTACTTTATTTGATCTTCGGATACTTCTTACCAATAATACTATAATGGAAGTCGCAGGAAAGAGAAACACCGTATCAGATAAGCTCGCATTGTTGAAGAAAATCGAAAACATCTCTATATACTGTGTTTTACTCATTCCATGAATCTGACTATTGGTGATGCAGCAAAATCTTCAGTAATTGCACTATTTTTCTTTGACGTAATACAAAAGTTACTTACTTTATTTTCTGCTCTGTGAATGATTGACAATTTCTAATTAGTTATGTACATAATACACTGAAACCATTCTGTGAAATCAGATGCATGCACGGATTGAAAGGTTTATGTTAAATACGAATAAAGAACGTAAAATATGCCTTATAGTAGTTAAAACAGTATTCAAAATGGGACAAATAATGCTTTGTTGAGTCATTCAGTCTGTTAAAAGAGATCACAACATTTAATACTTTTAGACTGGTTAACTAGTTTTATTTAATTCAATAAAATTAATAAAGCAATACAGTAAAAATGTGTAACATTAGGTCTACAATGAAACAAATAAACATAAAGCAAAGTGTTATTGAAGAGTTCCTGATAAATGATTTAATAAAAAAGCAGAACTGATTACACTTTCTAGAGTCATTAGGGTTTTTGATGCTTGAGACGTGAAAAATGTGCAAAGCCTTCGCCGGGACTCGAACATCTTGAATATGTATCGAGTATGCTTCTAATTATACCAGGAAGGCATGCAGAAAGGAGGTAAAAAATACCTTATAACTTTTAGCATTCCTTATTTAATTCAGATATACCAGATGCATGACTGAAAAAGTGTGAAAAGTATTTTTCTTTTAAAAGAAAGGATGAGCTCATTTTAGAGAAAAAAAATTATCTATAAATAAACTTCTTCGAAGTTATGAGTCTTTTGTCTTGTGAGAGAAAGGATAAGTCTCTCTGATCTGGTCTGTGTTATTTGTGACTTCAAGGAAGATATAAACAGCATTTGAGATCCACCAGTGGCCGAATAAATAAGACCACCAAATATCCGGTTGTTGGATGCGGATTTTGTTTTCAGTATGTTAATTAAATGTTAGTGTTTTCATTCTTTCCCCATGTGTAACATACATATGAGCCTTGGCCCCTGAAAAGCCTAGTAGAGAAACTATGCTGCAAAATACAATAAACTGTGTTAGCTTCAATTCTTGGTATGATTTAAAAGTTTTTATACTGAGATTAGTAAATGTGTTTAATTTTAGATTAAATGAAAAATGCTAGTTATTTTAAATATGTTTCATTGAAACTGTTATACATTTTAATCAGTACTGCACAAGAGTTTCATATATGTTTGAGTTTGTAATTTATTAAGGCTTAAGTCTTTTTAAAGACTGTTACTATACAAAAAAGTGTTACTTCAGTACCATTAATTTCTGCTTTTAAAATGAAATGATTAGCGCTGATAAATTATACATTGTATGCTAATTATTATTTATATAATATTAAATATTAACATTATTAATTATATAATATTAAATATTAACATTATTAATTATATAATATTAAATATTAACATTATTATATAATATTAAACAGTCAGTAGAAAACAGAATTTTAAAAGAGATCTCTCGTTAAATATAATTTTAAATGAAACCGTATGTCAGGTGCTTACCTGGACGCTTTTGCGGGGGAAAACGGAATATTTCAAACGCGAATAGGTGTAATTCTGTCTGCATGGCATTGTAGCGGATGTAATTATGGTAAGTAAAGACTGAGGCTGAGTTGAGATGGAGCGTCTCTCCGTGCAATAGTGTACTGCGGCCGCAGAATTAAACAAAACTACCAGATAGTACGTTATGGAATTTCTGTAATGAGGAATTTAACATTATTCTGCTATATTTTGTGAAAATAAGGCAGAGAATATAGTTATTGTGAATGCTGTACAATACACGGTTTCTTCGTAGTGCCACAAGTCCCGATCACAGCAGCGGTAGTGTAAGTTAGATGGAACAATCGCTTTTCCCAGTTAGAATCTCTGTCGTAATTCTTCGGAGGTTGTGTCTAGGGCCTAAATATAAAAAAGTTCTATTTACTCTATCTTACTAAAGATGCATCAATTGACATGTCTTGTAACCGGATACGTGACTAGTTCCTTCACGATTCCTCAAAGACAAAGTGTGTGAAGCACGTGGTTTGTACACTGAGTTAAAATACCGAATTCGGGAGTATATGCAGCGAGTTCCTAAGGCGATACTTCAACACGCAGTGACGTCCTTGCCATCATGACTGAAGTGTTGTATTCAACAACAAGATCGCCACTTGTCGTGAGTGATATTCAAAGCGTCCCATGGAAAAATCCAGAGTTTCTGTGATAAACATATTGAGAAAAATACATGTTTTCACTTTCCATTTGCGCCCTATTTCTTTTCAAGGATCGTCGTTTGTTTTAATGAGCATTCTGTAGCGAGGTTATTAAATTTATTATTAAATTTAAGGTAAATAAAGCATCTCTCATGCCCGCACAAATAAAATATTATGTGTGAAATATTATGTATATAATAATGGAATTCTCACTAGCTCTGAATGTTGAACAGTATTATAGTCACTTATTTTTATACTACTCTATTCTACACTTCCAGAACTGGTTGACGGACTTGGAAATATTTGCCGCTCTCATAGCCGCCATTATTCATGACTTTGAACACACCGGGACCACGAACAACTTTCATGTCATGTCCAGGTAAGATTCCATAATATATAGTTGTTGTTTTTGTCTTTATTATTTTGAAAAAAGTAAAACGATTGAGTGTGATGATTAAAGTAAGTACTTTTTTGGAGTCTTCCATTACAATATTTCACATTTATTCCAATTCTATCAATGTTTTGCCAAAACGTTTAAAGACTGAATATGAATATCCTATGTACTCCACCTTTTAACGGGCGACTGGGGATTAAGGGACCCAATCGCCAAATCCTGGTGGTGGCGAAGTATCGCCACCTTTCGGAGGCCATTGTAGAGCCAAGAGAATTTTTTGAAGCAGGAGTACATGAAAAACGAGAATGTCCTCGTCGGGACTCGAACCTGGCTCCTCGAATACGCACCGGGTGTGCTACTGTTACACCACGAAGGCATGTTGGAACGAGGGAGAAAATACATCAGCATCTGGTTTATTCGAACAGGCCCACAGCAGATCTGCTGTCTGTTACGTCAGCGAAATAGATATACAGCAGCTTCGTCTAATATTTTAACTTAAGTTCAGGTCTAATTGCTAATTTATTTTGCCTTGTTATTCTTTTCACGCAAATGCCAAAGACGTTTTATTCATGAAATCGTAGTATTTCTTTTTTTTAATTTATCTATTTTTATTTTTTATTTTTTTAATGTCATTAAAATTTTAAAACAGCTATTTTGTCTTCAGATAAAATTTCGCAACTAGTTAATTTTCTAAGATAAATTAAAACATCTTGTGCTAAAATAACATTAAAGAATGTTCAAGCGAACAGTCTAATAAAAGATCTGATCGGAGGTTTGGAGATAATAAACATAGCGGCGAAAACCATGAAAGCTAAAAAACTGGAGAAAACATAGCAATGGTTTGAAAGACCTCCCATTTCAAATCAAAAGAAAGTTGCGTGATGAGTTTCAGATTTTAACTGGCTAACGAATGGAAGAAAACAACATTTAACCGATTGAGATTCCACCAGTTTAATAGCTTCAGGATAAAATTTTACCGAAAGAGTTTTCAAAATTTCAGCAGTTGTTCTGATGTACTTCCCACGACTTTTTCCAGCTGTCTACTTTTATGCACATCTGAACAAAATGATCCATCGTATCAGCCTGAACAACTTTATAGTAATATTATATCATCCCTGAATCTAAATAGAGAAGATGGTATAAGAATTTTATTTTGGGGGCCGGGCCTTTTTTTCTTTCTTCTCCGTAGTATTTAACCATTGAACACTTATTCATCTGAGCACTCTTCGGTGAAGATGCTTTGTAGCTCTAGCACGAGGATGCTTCATAGAAATAGCTGGGATTTTTCATTTTCTGTTTGCAGTAACATTTTTTCCTGTTATCAGATTTAAAGCACAGATTTACTTTTTAATCTTTCCTTAGGATTTTGAAAATCTGGAACATTTTCCACGTAACTGCAATAATCACAGCATTAAATGAATAGGGCACCATACCTTGAATATCAAGAAATAGCATCTTCCTCTATTAATATATAATAGCTTTTCTTCTTCCCCCTCAGTGGAATATGATAAAATTAGAATGCAATGTTTTAGCTACTTTTCGGTCTAGGGCCTTTTCTCAAAATTATCACATTAATGTAAAATCCTATTTAAGGCGTTTTTATTGTAAAACTTGAAGAGTATATTGAAATAAAATAAATATTCTTTAGCTTTATCTAATTCTAATTCAGCGATAATTTCAATTTCATCAATCCTTTAGGAAAATCTTCTATTATTTTTTACAATACTTCTAGAAGTTGTTATTGCGTAACCTTGACCACCTTTCAATATATTCTTTTAAAACATTAAAAAAATCTGAAAGCTGTCAGATTTTATATTACGGCCAAGGGGACGTTTTGTGTGTTACCTTTATTTATTAAATATCACGTTGTTCGTACTTAAACCATAAAATTCAATTCAGTAGCAATATCACAAAATAATTTGAAAGAACATATCTTTAGAATTTCCGATGCACAGTCTCCCGCGCTGGAGCTAAAAATATTTTTTCGTATAATGTTGCCATTGCTCATTTTGAAATCATTATGTTTTTAAATCAGAAATTCGTTAATTTTTTACAAAATATGAAACACGTAATAAAACAAATTCCAAATTTGTTGCCTATATTCGAGTGAAGAACTACGTTATTCAAAATTTGATATCGCTAGGCACCGTTGTTTTTTCACGGTGCTAGAAATATACATACATTCGCAGATTCTTCGTTAATTAATTTCTTTAAATGTAATGCAGGGCTCTAATATTTGGTGCAACAATTTGAAAAGGGAAAACGCCGTTTATAGTGAACCAATGCAAAATACCAAAATTAAATTAATAGCCCTTCTGGGCAAATTGCCTCTTTGGGCTAATAATATTTTGTCTAATATTATCATTTATATGACCTATTTTATCATCTATATATAAGAAAATACAGTGGTGGCAAATGTTCTTCTCTCAATGGAATCTAGATCTATTAATTGATTAATTAGACATTTGTGTTAAGATCTTTTAGGAAGAGGATGTCAATTTTAATTTAAAATATCTTTAATGAGGCAAATTTTTAATTTTCAGTCTAATATTTTCAGAACAAAGCATAATTTTCTAACAGTCCCTAATTTGGTACTTTTCTAAGCTCTACCATCACAATACATTCTCTTGTCTGACAGTGAACACATGTATGCCTCAAATAATTCCATTCCTTCGGCTTAAATACAATAATGCGCGTTCATAGGTCACAACGTAAAAGCATTAAAGGAAGGAAATCTAACAAGCACATCTTCAAAACTGAATTCAAAGGCTATTTAAGAGTTTCAGAAGAGTAACCCTTACGTAGCAAAAAGTAGGAATTTTAATAAATAGGACAACTTATATCTGTCGAACCCTCCAAGGATAAAAGAGAAGCCGCTTGTTACATTTCTTAACACTCCAATAGAAACTGCTTATGTACTTCACTTTCCATACCAAAAGAATTAATTGGATCTACTTTTGCAGACGATGCCGCTATCTTCAGCTGTAAAAAATTGTCTTCTTTTCACCATAACTAGCTCAACCATCTCATCAAAAAATATTTTACAGTCCATTTTGGTGTTTATTGTCGGCTCTACAAACTCCTTTGAGGTTTTCATCCATTTTATAGGGCAATGATTTTCTTCACTGTTGTTATTTTGAAATATGGAAGTGATCTTTTAGACCAAAGAGAGTCATTATTTTCTTTCATGAAAGAAATTTTTTATTATAGTAACTTTCGAGATGCATCAAGGTTTTTTTCGCTTCAGGTACTTCAATGCAGCAGAGTAGCTACGTGCTTTACACGTTGCTTTTCACTCCTTAATAGAGTCGCTGCGTTACAAATAAGACTATAAAAGTTTCTGTGCCCTATTTTTAGAACGGCTAAAAAGCGTACTGAAAAATTATTGCTTTCATGAGAGCATAAAATATTATTTTGGATGTAAAACGACGAGTACTAAATACTAACCTGTCAGCCACTTGCATCGTTTAGAACAATAAATTCGTCCTCCGGTTCTCAATTTCGATTATTTTAAATAATTTTAAATAAACTTATGGAGTCTTATATACTGTGGTAGCATAAATTCACAAGCTCTAGAAAGAATGTAAAGGAATTTTCCTCGGTTCTTTAAAGGTAGGCATGCAAAGTCAGAGGAAGGGTGTGAATAGCCCTTTTATTCAATCACAAAGAGTTAACAGTTGACCCCCACATAAGTTTACATAAGCCAACAGGCTTATGTAAACTTATGTGGGGTTTACAAACTTATGTGGAGTTTACAAGTTTCTGATTAACTTGTTTAAGTTAATCAGGCTTAACTTAAACAAGCAATGTTGAACTTGAAATAAAATGTAATTTAAACTAGCCTAACGGCTCACAGGATAAAGTAAACGCACAGGAAAGCTAAAGGAAATGCTAAAGGAAAATGCATATCATAGAAGTCGGTGAGGCAAGCCTAATGGCTAGACGCACTCAACGCCGCAGGATCAAATCTCTATTTAATCACGGTAACAACGTAGTCTCAAGTAGGCAAAACACGCTGTAAAATCAACTTGCGAAACCTTCGTTTAAATAGAACTTCATTCTCCCTTAATCTAAATAAACGCGCGCTATCTAGTTTACATTTAGGTATGAAAAGCATGGGTTAAAAGGAGAGCGAAAGGAAAGTTACTTTAACTCAAAATTAACTATTAGTCAAAATAAATAAATAAATCCTCACAAACTGCTATTGGTTTTAGTTTAGTAAATAGGGCTTGTTGTTATTACTATTGATCATTCAGTGATAAGAATTTCAACGCTGTTAAATTTATATGAAATTACAGAAGTCAAATAAATTATTCTAATATTTTTAAGGATATCTTAGACCTCTAGAAATTTAAATATTCTAATTAGAGAAATAACTTAAAATTACACTTTTTAATTCAGCTCAAATCACGCTTTGCATTTTTCAAATTTTTGTGTAACTACGCAGCTTTACGAGTGGTACTATAGTTTCACATCATAAGTATTAAAAATCTAACAAGTAAAGTTCATTGCATTCAATTGCATTGCTTAATCGCTTTATGAATTATATTGAATAAAAGGACTACATGTGCTTTTTACTTCACTTTCAAATTACAGAGCTTAAGTTTCAATTGGAGCTCACTTTTTCGAGTTCAAAAGTCGTCCTTTATCAACTTGAATTTCAAATTTTTTATTAATTTAAATTTCGATTTGAATTTTCAAAATAATTTGGAGTATAATTTTTTTTCTGATTTAAAGTATATGAAGGTCTGTCACTTTTATCGTTTAATCCATCCCATTTCAGTTCTGTAGTTCTAATCCATTTCAATCAATTTCTAAGTTGCTTTCATTATTTATTTTAGTAAAATGTAACTGTTTTTAATGATATTTTAAATTAATGCTAGAAATAACTAATAGGGTCACTTAGTGTTTATACTTTAAGCTTTCTTTCTCCTACTCTTTAGCTCCGTATCTCAATATATTTTCATCAGGTTAATAAAAAATTCAGTTATTTTCTGCTCTTACAATGCATGTTTTGTAAAAGCTATGTAGTTGCATTAAAACAAGTCTAAATTAATTGGAAACAGTATTATTAGAAGCGTTTCTGATTATTAAAATATTATTTTTGAATAAAATATTTTAGTTAAGCTGACAGAAACGGAACTGTAATTAACAGTCTCATAATATTTGGAAATTTTGCTTGCAAAAAATAAATATCTTATACTCGTACATGCTTTAGTATGAGTTTAGTAATGTTATTTAAGAAGCATGTAAAGTATTATGCACACTTGAATATGCCTTAAACAAATCTGTGAAACATGTCGCCGAAAGTGCTTACACTCGAAGATTCTCTTCTCTTCTTTTAGGTCTGAGACGGCTCTCCTATACAACGATAGAGCAGTTCTTGAAAATCATCATGTAAGTACAGCATTTCGCCTTATGCGAGAAGATGACTCCAATATACTATTTCACTTGAGTAAAGAAGAGTACAGGTAATACATATTTCTCATAACTTAAAATATTCAGTTTAAATCTACTTTTACTTGATAATATATGGTTTTCCTATTCCCTTATATTTCAGGGAGTTTCGTACCCTGGTCATAGATATGGTTCTAGCTACAGACATGTCTTCCCACTTTCAACAGATTAAGTCCGTCAAGTCACTGATCAGTCATTCAGACTTCTCGTAAGAATGTTAATTCTTATATAAATTTGTCGCATTATTTTATTGCATTTTTTAAAAGAAACTTAGGAATTTTTTTATTACTTGAATCTTAATTATCAGGTAAACAAAAATTTCTTCCCATTTCTAGTTTTGTGTTTAAGTGTATTATAAAATATATTTCTTTATCCCCAAAGGGGTAAAATGTTTTTTTCACTTTATTTATCATACGTTTCGACAGAATAAAACAAGATAAACCGCTTTTCATCACCACATAGAATTCATATCATCGATGACGCACAGCATGGAAAATACACACGATGAAGATAACTCACATATGTGAAAGTTATAACAGTATAGTCTTCAGGAAACGAATAGCTACATTACTTATGTTGGAGAGAAACAGAAATAAATTTTATAAGCAAAAGGTTATTTTGTATGTAAATAGAGTTCGTTGTTGAAGCAACTTCGAAGATTAACTACGTAAAGGTAGTCAAAATTAGACAATTTTTTCCCTCTCTCCGAATACTAGTACTTTATTGAGTGCTGCTTACTGAATGGTCAGAAATTTACATTTTTGTTAAATATTGATAATAAACATGTACTTCCAAAGAAAAGTTTTTTAATATAAAAAAGAAACTTTTGTGAAAACTGTGTCAGAACTGAATGTAAAGTGGAAATATTGTAAACTGAAAATTTAGCTCCCACATAGGCCCCGTGTATCCAAAAGCCCAATTCACAAAATAGTGTTCATTATGTTTGTTAAATACAAGAAAAGAGTTTTACAGATAAGTTAAATACATGAAGATATTTGAGAACGAATTCATTGATTCATAAAACCAAAAATAACTTCATTGTAAAAATATTTTTCAAGGAAAAATCTTGCAAAAATTTCCGCATAGATGTAGAAAGAAACTGCAAAATAAAAAGTGGTTGTTCCACGATTAATAGTTCCTTGCAGGATAAAACAGCATTCATTATTAATTCTGCAGTTGATCATATGAAATTATTAATTACAAATGGCTCCGAGAAGTTTTCTCTTTAAACAATAGAATTTCTTTAATTTGACTCATGAAAGCGTAATGGACGTTTTATTAATAGGACATTTACTCTACGTGAGAAACTTCAATTTAATTTTACAAAAGAGAAAAACCCTTTCCACATCTTGCGGTGAAACAGTTTTCATAAAATTCTCTAATTTGTTTTAGAAAGTTTTGTAATTGGAAAATGCATATCTGATCAGTATTTCTGGAAATAAAACCTGCCGCCACTTTTTTCGAATACCTTGTATGTAAAATGCACAAATTTCTAGATCCTTCCTCTACAAATTATTTTGTTTTGTTGTAGGGAAACAAATGGCTCTAGTCTCTCTTTTTTTGATATAAATGGTCAATTTTTGAATATGCTATATATGCAAACACAATCGATTTTCAAAATTAATATAACAATTTCCTTTATTTCGCGGAGACAGTATAATTTCCTAGAAAAGTTCCGTAGAATTTCCGGGAAGGAAATAAAAATTTCAGAATTGAAATACTACTTCAGCTTCTACATTAAACAGTAATATGAAACATCTGTCGAGTTCAAAAGTCCAACAGCAGTTCCAAATTAAATTTTCTTCCTTCAATAGAATTACTAAACTTTACACCTTTTTCGAACAAATATTTTTTTTAAACGCAAACGATACCTAGTGTAAGGAAACTATGCAAAAATATGCACTGAAGACCAAAAATTACATCTTAATCGCATTACCCTTTGATGCTGCTGTAAACAAACAGAAACAGCCGAAATTTTCAAGTTCGGTTAATCCACGGAAGGATCGTGAAGATTTATTTCTCAGTCTAAGCTAAACATTTCTAAAGCATAAAAAGTTGAGTTGCAGCTGTTTTGTCAAATGAAACTTTAAGTTTTTCACAAAAACGTTTATTTATATATTCAAGCCATTTTTTCATTCGTTTTAATCTATCAATTTAATATCACAATTTTGAAAAAATTAAAAAAGTATAAACATAAAATATTAAAATTATAATTAATGATCATTTGAAAGTGAAACTAGTTAATACTTTCTCAATATTTGTGGTGATATCACAAAGTGACGAAGAACCTTACTTGACGATTTAGTGTGAATATAACAGCACTCCTTTTACCGTAAGACCGTTTTACAGACAGATCAAGCTGACAGAAATAACCGATAATGAAACAATGAAATAATCCATTTAATCCTTATTTGCCGCCACCCCCCAGCGCTATTGAGTTTGAATTCAAAAAGGAGAATTTTTTTCTTCCTGTTTAGGTTTGGTTAAATTGTTTATTTATGGAACAACATTCTAAGATTATCTGCCTCAGGAAAAGCCTCTAATTTTTTAAGGGAAAGCAGTGTGTGAAAAGTACCGAAAGTTGTACTCAGCTAGCCTGTATAGCAGCCGGAATACAAGTTCTTGTTCTGTTAACCACTTGGCCGTAGATGAGCCCTTTTTTTCTAGCACTAAAAGGATTCGAAGTGAAAGGAATTGAGGAAATTAGACTTAATTATAGATGGACTGCCTGATATTGTAGACTCAAGAAGGGAAAGTCCGTAAAATTTCTCATATATTTCAGAAATGATTTTTTATTCATCAATTTCTGTTATTTTAAAATTGTGTCTGAAGTTATATACTGGTACCTACAAAATATTTTCTTGCCTTATGCTCCAGCCACGGCTGGTGATTACTGTGGTAATTTACTGAGAACTCTGGGTTCATACCCAGCATCTGAACGAACTGGTTGCGCAATATTTTCATACTTCTCAGTACATGTAACTAAGCTAACCAGTTTCTCATAGAAAATCCTCTATGAAGGCATTCTCCTGAAAAAGATATGGGCTTTGTTTTAATCAGCAAGTCAACATAATTTATTTGTTTGCCTCATTGAAACTAAAAGGTCATTGAATCAGATACATTAATATAGGTTCTCAAACGTCTTTAATAAAATTGCTAATTCCTACACATTTAAGTAATCTCGTTTGTTTTTATATTAAGGACATGATACAGAGTAGGCTAAATTTCTGCTATCTTACAAAAACCAAAAACCACTCTGTTCGATATTGTGGTTAATGGAAATGGCTGCCATAGCGTAAGCCTCAGGCTCGAATCCGAGAGAATACATAAATTTTGTATCAATCTATCCCTTTTGACGATTATAATATTGGGCGTCGCTTTTGCGGGCATCCTCAGTATCGTTCTCTGTTCTTTTCTATCTCTTCTAATTTCAGCTTACAAATTTCCGGCTAGAGTGTGTTTTTAGAATCGCGGTTAAATGAAAATGAAGGAAGAGCAGTACTTACGTCAAAGTTCCACTGACCACGTTAGAGAGCCACGGATTCTGACTAGCACGCGTTCGCCTATTACTACGCTCAGCCGTATTTCAGGCCCTTTATAACTTCGCCGTTTAGTTAACATTTAGGGGTCAACTGCTGCAGAATTTTGATAGCTTCAGTCATATTTTTTTTAGTTCAGCATTAGTTAAGTTTTATTTCTTAGTATTCTTGAGTTCAAGTGGACGCTTTTCTGTACGTCCTGAAAAAGAACCATCCGTAAAACCTTTTTTTGAGCAATAAAGGGTAATTAACCCTTCTTGAGTTTACGTTTCTGTTTCTTAAGCTAAAGCGATTACTCGTTTACCGGTTCTCAAGGTTCCACACACTTAGCTGTAAATTAAAAGTTGAAACCTTATAAGTTGTTTTTATATTATTAAACCACTCTTAAAGTTATGTGACTTAACGATATTTTACTAAGCGTTTTTTCTGACTGTAGGTGAACTGACTACAATCAGGTTACACAACGAATATGAAATCTCAACAAATTTTATTTTAGCACTCGTAGTGACTTACATCTGAAACGAAAATTCACAAACTTAACGGGTCAACGCTTGCTTCGTCAGAGTAAGGAATAAAATTGCAATTTCTGGCAAATGCTCTTGCTGTTTTGTTACTTTTAGACAATGTCCATCAGAATAGTACAAAATATACAGATACGAAGTTAATCCAAAAGGTAAAGTTCTCTAATATTTATCTCTCAGATAAATTTTGCATCAGGCAGTTTCTGCTTACATTTCTTCTGTGTAATCCTATTCTTCACAACAGTTAGGATCCAATATCTTAGAAGATTAGCTTTTCATTGCATGTTGTAGTTCTATTTCTGTTGCTGTTCGTTGGCACTACTTTTATTCAGTCCCTGAATGGCTTGAGTAACTACAGAGGAACTATCTTTCAAGGAAAAATAATTGCTATCCATGCAGGGATCTTTGATTTTGAGGAAGAATTTTAAATCCGAGGATTTTATGGTTGGTGAGATGACCGATCCCTCTCGTACTCAGTTGGGAGAGTTAAAAGTTCATCTTCTATATACAGATAAATTTATTATAGTAGTCGTCGTTTTCTTTTTGTATTATTGCTTTTAATTTACCTGGTATTTGAAGAACAGCTCAAATCTCAAGAGACCCATGGCTGAAGAGTTGGAATATGTGCTCCACGAAGCGTTTATATATCCCGGCATGAACTATTGATTTATTAGCAATAGACTATCTACGTCTAGATTTATCGGGATGACTGGAGACGTAGTTTCAAGAAATTTCAATTATGCCCAGTGCACTAATTACTTAATTTCAATTATGCACAGTGCACTAATTACTTAAATTTCAATTATGCGCAGTGCACTAATTAAATTTTCTAGCAGATTTCGCTGGATGCCACACTAAAATAGTGTAGCACTCAAGGGTACTGATTCAGATACCACTAATATTGCAATCATGTTTATTTTTTGGTAAATTCTTCTACACTGGGAATCAATATAACTAGTCTTTCCAAGGTTTTAGGTTACAGTGTTTAACAATTTCATAGGATTCAAATGGTGAAAAAGCTGTATGATTCGGTGCTTGGAATTTAAAATATTTCTGAAGATTTCGGAGATTGAAAATTCGAAAGTCCGTGATTTGGGTAAAGCAAAATGTGACTTATAATCAGTTTCTAGTAACCTAGTATCTTTTTCATAATCTAATGAATTAATTAAATTACTTAGAGTTAGACTTGATCGCAGTGTATTGGCCTTAATGTTAATTGTGTGGAGGAACAAAATTAATTTTTATGCAAAAGCCCAAAAAAGTTAAAAACTTATTTTAAAATATTTTTTCTTCTTGGAATAACAGTTTCTTTGCAGTGCGCGTTGACCTGTATTGCTTAATTTATCCCTTCTAAAAGAATACTCATGTGTTAAAAAAGGAAAAAAACACTCAATTTTTTTTAATTAATGATTTATAAATCACTCAAATAAAAACTTTTTAAGTAATTGTAGACCAATGCATATTCTTCTGAATTCTGTTTACTTCTGTTAGACCCATATAACAACAATTATAAGGGAAATCAGAGGAAAATGTTTGGTTTTTCTACCTGAAGAAAGATCGCTCAGTTGCTCAATCAAATATTTACAAATTTATATTTTCTTGGAACTTTGTGTTCTAAACAAAAAGCGGGAGATGTAAGATTTATTTATTCATATTTACACGTAACCATGTTAATCACTCATAAAATACGAAATTCTCATTTATTTAATTCAAAAACTTCTTTATATTCGAAACTTGTTTTATTACTTTCGAAATAATTTAAATCTGCACTTGCCGCTATCCGAACGTTCGTAAAATTTACCACGCGGCTCCTATCTTCTTGAAGCTCGGCTGCCCTTGATATATGACATGAATCAAAGGTAAAACAGAACAGTGGTTTAATTAAGCTTATTTGTAGGTAAAATTAGAAATAACTATCACAAACTCACTAAACTGTGAAAAGAGATTTAAAAATGCTATTATCTCATGCAAGTTTGCCAGTTTTTATACATATGTAATTTTTTATCCAAAATGGCTTCAAAATTTCATTTTTTTTTTATTTTCAATTATTAGAGATAGCATCTATCCATGTTTTCTTCGAATAATCCGAGTTCAATTGAATAAGTCTTTCGACATTGTCCCTGCTCTTTCACATACATTCTGAATGTCAAAAGTTCTGCCAAAATGTTTTTCACATATTGAGATTTTTCTTTTTTACAGCATTGATAAGTCTAAGGCTCTATCCTTAGTTTTGCACTGTTGTGATATCAGCCATCCAAGCAAAGCCTGGAATTTGCACCATAAATGGACTATGTTGCTTATGGAGGAATTTTTCCTGCAGGTGAGATAAAAAAAAATCATTTTACAGATAAAGTACATTAAATTTCTAAATTATGTTTTCAGTGTTTAAATTAACACAATAATTGTATATTTTCTCTTAGTGCTGAGATAAATAACCAAAAAAAGAACTTATAATGAATACTTTTCTCCTTTTTCCTATTTTATGAATCATCGCAAGCATATTTGTATTCAACATCTTTTTTAAAGATTAATGGAAAAATTGATCATCTCAAAAGCCTTTAAAAATGCTTTAAAGGTTCCTTTAAAATATTGTTTTGCCAATTTTAGCTATAAATATAATTTTTTAGAATAAATCGCTTCACGAAGATTCAAGTAGGTATTAGAAATTAGCTATAGTTTCCCTTTGTACAGTAATAACGTTAGTCCATTAGAAGAATGTTCTCTACTCTATTCTTATATAAGCCCAGGTTTTATAATTATCCTTGACTTAACGATGAACACTTAAAGTTTAGCTGACATCCCACATTGCCGCCACTGATGGATGAGACACATCTCACAGCAAACAGGACTAAGTTTGAGGGTGAGCTCGCTAGATGAACATTCATTTAATTATTATAAGGATCTGAATATTTTGTTCGGTAGAGGGTTTAGGCATGGACGAAGAAGTTATGGGTTCAACTTCCAGTCAAAGACCAGATTTCATAGTTTTACTCATCTCAAAATTAATTCAAAAACGTCATTGAAGACAGATTCATAAATGAACATTCTTTCACTGTATTATTGATATTACTAATGTATATGTATTCACTTATAAATTTAAAACAAGAACACGATTATTTTCCAATGAACCTTTGTAATGTCAAGTAAATGTTTTCCTTAAATGCAAAAATGTTAATGACCTTTTTTTGATTTTGAAAGTTCTAAAATAAATGCATAACATAAGAAGTTAATCATCCAGTATAAGGATTTCGTTCATGAAAATAAATGGTTTCAAGTTGCTTTGTTTACGCTAGAATATCGCACTCGAGGTCATCAGCAAGTAATGCCGGAAAGAGTACTAAATAATATAAAATAATGCAGTACATTAGTGCAGCAATTTTTAATACGAGGGTTGCTATTTATATTTCTGCCCTAATAATGAAAAAACAAATGTTTATGATCAAAACTGGCTTTATTGTTTTTCAAAATATTCTCCATGAATATCAATACACTTTTGAGTGCGTTTAAAAGAATTTTCGAAGCACTTTTTCCACTTCGAGTGAGGTAACTTAAAAACATGCGTTTTTATTGCATCAACAGCTTCTTCGGGTGTCATTGGATGCCAAATCAAGGCTGTAAGGCGGACAACCCATCAATTCGATGTTTTGGCCCGTCAAAAATTCTTTTTCTGAGCCGATGCGGGAAAGCTCGCATTGAGATGATGAAGAATGATTCACCTCTTCTGCTTTCTTTGAATTTTTCCCATGACTCTGGCAAACAAATGGTCGTGTACCATTCGGAATAGACCGTCCTGCATTGCTCTAACATCACTGTCGCCACATGACCAATAATGCAGAAGAAACAGACAACCATTTGCTTCAATGTGCTTCTTCCGCGAACAACTTTTGTTGGATTTGGCTCGTCTTGGAAGACTCGTACAGTGGACTGCTCTTTTGTTTCGAACTCATATGCCTAGATCACTTATTTAGATGTTATACACAGCTTCTGATGCACCTTGAACGTATTATTTCAACATTTCCTTGCAGCAATCGACACGAGCCTTCTTTTGAGCGAGATCCAGAGCGAACAAATATTTTTTACAGCCAAATGTTTTTTTCATGTCATATCTTATTGATGCTTGTCATACTAGTGCCCAAAATTCCTCATTCTCACGGTATGTCACATGACGATCTTATTTTATCAGTTCACGCACAGCATCGATATTTTCTGGCACAACAACGGATTTGGAAATGTTGAAATAATACTTCATGGAATTTGTCCTATAGCAAACATCAACCGCGATTGAATTCGTTATACCAGTTTTTTATAGTGCTGTAGGATGGTGCTTTATCGCTGTAAGCACTCTTGTCTTGATAATCCACGTCGAAAGTTATGAAAATTAATAGCACGAAAATGTTCACGAGCCAATTCCATTTTCTGCCAAAGATGAATTTTTCAATTTACTCTAAACAACGCAAATCACGCTAAAATGGCAAAACGTTCTGAAGAAGTTATGGTTTGAGAAAACAAAATTTCGAATGCAATCGTCTGCGGTAGCCTAGTAACACTAACTGTTGCCAAGGCAATAAATATAAATAGCAACCTTCGTACTTAATTTGACTTCTCAGAATGCCTGATATTATCAGTTGATGAAATAAAATATTTCATGTCTTATTCATTCTTTTTTATTAAATATTTTAGGGAGATAAAGAGAAAGCACTTGGACTTCCATATTCTCCTTTATGTGACAGAAACACCACCCTTATCGCAGATTCTCAAATAGGTAATATTCGCCTATTATGGAAGCAGTTTTCTTAATAAGTATTTCCTATTAATTCTGTAGGATGTCAATACTGAACAGAGGGATTTTTACAGATTTCATTCAAATTTATTCATCTTATTTTGTACCTTTTCCAATAAATTTAAATCTTCATATTTTTCCTAAGCGTTTTATTTTTATAGATGTTTGTTGTTTTTTGAGGTTAATCTTATTTTTCATCTATTAATTAATGTACCTTTCAGCCACCCGTGGAAATTCTTAGAGAATAATTAATATTGCGCAATAGTTTTTGAAATGATGATGTCATTTTTCCCAACATTCCGGGCTAGGGGAAAAAGTAGCAACATTTCACGATTATAATGAACTTCAAGGAATATGAAAATTCACTTTCACTTTATAAAAGTGATTTGTAGAAATTTCTGTACACTAGTGCATGAAAATATGAGCTGGACGCATGAGACCGTTGAAGTAAATGAAAGATGGTTACATGTTTGCAAAATATGTCATTAGTCGAAATATTGGCCTTGCGCTTTTTTTTTCAGCCACCTGGAAGCGCTTTTATCCCTTCTTCAAAGATATTTGGCCGCAATCTGCGGGAAAGTCAGGGTTTGACCGTGTGAGCATCCACTTTCTGTAGCCTTGCAAATACTGTGTGTTCGATCTCCTGCTGAAAGGAGATTTAACCCCCAGTGTTGCTAACTTATAGTTTTTTAATTCCTGGTCATATAAGGCAGCTATTGCAGTACATCCCATCTGGCTATTATGTGACGGTCTTTATTCTGCATATTATCTGCGAGCCCTGATAAAAATCTGGGGACTCGAGATCCTTTCTCTCACCAAACACTGGACATATAAACTAACATCTTTAATTCCACTCGGTAAAGCTGTTCTTGATTATTCATCACTCTCAACGGAGCTATACGCGATTGCCAAGATCGAGTTCCTACTACTCTGTAGGTTATAATATGACTATCAGTATATCCAATGTTTTGCAGGAATTACAACAAAGAAAACATAACCACCCGGTCGTATCTGATTGCTGTAGTGTTTTTTTTTTTTTTTTTTTTTTTTTTTTGTTTTTTTTTTTTTTTTTTTTCTTCATGTGGATTTAAAGAATATTTTTTATTATATATATCTGTAATTCGGAATTCGGAATATCAGTTGTATCAATTTATAACCTACAAATGCAGTAATAATCTGTAACTGATGATAATAAGTTTATGGCATAAAAGTTAATAATTTTTAAGCGCAGTATTCTTTTACGAGTAAAATATGCATCACTTAAAGGACAAAATTATTGCAAGATGCTACTAAAATAAAATAAATTTATGCAACCTAATTTACTCTGCTTTAAAACCTAATTAAGAAGCTATTATATAAACATATCTGTTATGTCTAACAATTTTATTTGAATTTTTTCAGTGATGCCTGGTAACCTTTTGGCGAGCTTTCTACAATTTCTAATACCCTTAATTTTGCAGCATATTGCGCAAAAAAATTACTTAGACCAAATTGGTCTTACAGTATTGTACTAACTACCTTGCTTGTTAATATATATATATATATATGTGATGTATCAGCTTTAGTCGTAGCTTAAATATTTAGACGATAAGTTTAAAAAACAGGATCCATTTATTATTATTCAGGAGAAATAGCAGTTACAAAAATCAGATATCCGGAGTAAATAAAAAGAATTACTAATAACTTTTTGTATGAAGTTTACTGCATCGTGACATTTAAGAAAAAGCCCCGATATTCCTTTTGCGAGTCCTTTTATAGCCTCTGGAAAGGCGGAGCTTCCAAGAAATGACGTCTTCGTCAGCCAATCGTCAGAAATGACAGCTTCGTCAGCCAATCCAGTTCGCTTTAAATACTTCCAGAACATTCTATAACTGTAGGTGTAGAAAAGGCGGGAAAAACAACTTGACTACGGGGCTGTGGATTTAATTCCACGTACTTTCAAATAAAGAGAACGTTGCCATTAAAAATGAAAGAACATACAGTTAGAATTTTAAGTGTATTCTCAATTATGAAATTTATTATTACAAATATATATATATATATATATATATATATATATTATATTATATATATATATTATATGTATAAGTAGTGTACATCACTGCATTCAGTGCTTATATAATACCCCATGTAATAAACGTGCAAACATAACGAAATAGACAAATATGTTAGGAATACTGAAACAGATTTACTTTTTATTAAAAACAAATTTCTTAACCCTTCGAAGAGATATTATATAGAATATTTTTAGTAAAACTTAAACCATACTTTTATTGCTGTTTTACTATGTTAATATTGTAACCGGAGGTTTTAATTAACCGTACTTTATCGAAGAATGAATAGAATCTCAATGATAGTTTAAATATTAATGGTTGCACGAATATATGTAATAAACTGATTTTTGTGTTGTCTTTGCGGTTTAGATATTCTACTAAACATGTTTTAGAACATTTTTAAGGAATTTGTGCAAAAATAAGTAAACGTATGACAAAAAAATTAAAGTGAATTGAATGAAGTCAATTGTAGAGTTATCAGATTTTTTTAAGCAGGAAATAGCAAAATGAGTATATCTTCGGCGGACTCGAACTCCGAACCTTCCGATTACTACTTAGACCTACTTCCCAATTACATCATAAAAACACCCAGTAAGGAGGAAGAAAACTTTTTTTATTTAATGAGAGAACGTTTTAAGGCATGTCTATCAACGCATAGAGATCAATGGCGATTTCTTTACTGTTTTGAATCTACAAGCATAATAAGCATAAACTTCCAAAGAAATATCTTTATAAGAGTTTACTCAACTTCTCATTAAATATTAAAAGCATTCTGGGATACTTTGCCATTTACATAGGGAATTAAAAATTCTGTGTTCATACTACCAACTCAGTCAGTTTCGTAGCACAAATAATTTACTTAGTCGTAAATATGAACTCTCAGTTAGATAACTAGAAGAATGATATTAAATGCTTGATAAAATTAAATTCCCAACTTTAAACTGAGTAAGACATTACACAGTTCTAGCTAAAATAATTCTTAGTTTTCAAGACTATATCAGAAATAAGTTTACAAAATTCTTAAAAAAGGAAACTTATATTTATGATATGTCAATAATATATTTCGACAAAGAGTCAAATGTAGCACAATAAGCAAGAGAAATGATGGATATTGCTGTCAAGTAAAATCTAAAAAATTCATCTTCAATGACATTATGTCTCATTATTCAACCTGTTCTTATAAATATTCAGTTAATTGAATGATGAATGAATAATGACCTCTAACCTGTCACATTATTCAACTTTTCAGTTCTTCTTGTTCTTTAATTTTACAACAGCAATTATTCAAATAAAAAATTCAAAGAAATTTGAGTTCATTCGCATGTTATGTAATATAATTAATCAGCTCATAATTGCCCATAAATTCTAATTTCATATTTTTGTATTTCCTTATTAGGTTTCATTGATTTTATTGTGGCGCCAAGTTTTGAAGTTTGTGGGGATATGCTTGAAAAAATTGAAGAGAAGTATCTGACAACTCGTTCATCATCTGTTTCCGAATCCATCACGGAAGAAACTCCTTCGGCAGCAAATAAAGTCACAGGTGATAAAATGCTCTCATATATTATAATGTAAGCTGCGGTGGCATTTTCTTAAGCGTGAAGTTCAATATATGCGATTTCAGATGTTATGACTTCTAAAGCGCATGATTTCTGACATTAAAGTACCTGAAACATTTACGTTCCAAATAAGTTTGATATAAGCGCAAGTTTTGCTACTGCCAAGTCATAAAATTTATTATTTATTTATCCTGATTTCTGAATAAAACGTCGCGGTAAAATAAAAAGTATGTACAAAGTAGGGTATATTATGTTTACTATTTTTGTTTGGAAACTCTGCCACAACGCTCGTGCTTATGTGTAGCCAAAGATATAGTCCGTAAATCAGTAGCCAGTAGTCCGTGGAATCCTTATGCCTAGAATCTGGAAAATTAGTTTATTCTACCATGAATCGTTGGCTGATGCGGTTTACAGCAGTGGAAGCCTGCTTTCAAACAAGTTGTGTTACAGACATTCAATGGGTATTGCAGTGAAACAGTGTAAATAGGCCGAATTGTGGACAAGACAGTTGGAGAATATAGTTTCGTTCCAAAAGGATATCGCAATAGCAAGGATAAGTATAGCTGTAATTCGATACTATTCCTCAAGATATGTTGAGACGTGTTATAGAAGCCTTTCCGCATTGCCTCGGACAAGGGCATTCAGAGGACATTATTTTCAAGGTTCACTGATGTCGGTATAGCTCCTATTATCATAATAATGTTTATATAATCATAATAATGTTATGATAATCATAATAATTATCATAATAATGTTTTTATGTATACTATTATTTCACAATCACATAAAGTTACTGCACGTATTCACCTTATTTTTGTTGCTATTTAAAGTTGATAGATGATAAATACATGTGGGTTCTTTAGTTCCGAAATCACAATTCATATTCAAACAAAACACATTTAATAAAAAACATTAATACATCTATAATATAGTTCATCTATTAATACAACATCTATAACATCTTATATCTATTAGCATGACAACTATAACGTCTTACATCTATTAATACAACATCTATATCATCTTGCATCTCCTCTCATAAAACAAAGTGGCGAGAGTTCTATCAATTTCACTCGTGCAGTTAACAGCGAAAACTTAGACAGCGCGCAAGAAAAAATAATAAGCTATGGATTTAAAATCACACATTCGGCCTTCCTTCTATGCGTCGACCTCGACGACATTATTCTACTCTTAACATCATAAATCATTGGTCATCTTACATCATCGTTGTCTTCGGTAAAAGAACCATCATCAAGAATAAGCCGAAACCTGAAAAGAAATACGAAGGGAGAGGGGAAGATTGTGTGCTAAGGACAAGTTAAAAGGAAACATCTTAATTATCCTTCATCTTTGCAACAATAACATCGTCAACAGTCCCTTCTATATTTCCTCTAAAACTTTCGTCTAAATCGAAAAATATCTTCAATCTTTAACATTTCTGGAAAAGTTTATTTCATCTTAAATAACATTAACTGAAATAAAAGTCATTATTAGGTGAAAATCACAGTTCGGTTATCAGTTGTATCACTCCAGGTTAAAACGTCATAATCAGTATTATTTTATACATCTTCTGCTTGAGTCTACGGTTTTATGTATTCAGTGCATGCACTTGTTTTAGTGGGCCCTTCATGATCTCCTTCTTTTACAACATCATAGAAGTCATTATTCTTTACTTTGATAATCTTATACGGGTCTAAATACTTTGATTTTAACTTAACGTTTGATCCAAATTGCGTTCTTTTGATTGCTACTAAATCATTAATTTTATAACATTTTGGGGAACGTTTTCGAAGGTTATATGTTTTTTCTCGGTAAGTTTCAAAACTATTTGAATTTTTGCATCAATTGTTTCTTTAATGTTTTCTTTTCCACAAGTATAATCAATATCTGCTTGAAAATTAAAAGCATTCTGTTTGCTTACTCCAGATATAAAATTAACAGCTGATAATGCTTTAGGAAATCTTCTTTTTGGGACAGAAGGTTCTTCAAGGGAAGATTTACGTCTTTTATATAACCTTGTCTCAGGTTTAGTTGATTTGTAAGTTGAAGTCACACTAGATAGTGTTGGAACAGCAGCACCATCCCACAGGTTTCCACAATGTTCCCAATCATCAGCATAAAGAATTTCTTGCAACTGACGAAATTTTTCATCAGTAATGCATATTTTTCTTTTCAATTCTGCTTGTTTCGCAAATAATCACTTCTCCATAATTTTTCTCATGTGTTCTTTTTCAAAAGGTAGCTTTTCTTTCATTTTCAGTTTAAGATGTTGAACTTCTTTTTCTTGCTCAGAGAGGATTTTATCTTTGATGCTCATCTGAAATTTTGTAGTTTCTGCTTCCTTTTTGGCTTCTGATAGTTGTTTCAGTAACATTTCTACACTCTGTCCTAATACAGAAAGTTTTCTTTCCAAAGATCTAACTTGTTGTTCAGAAGCATCCAAACTCATTTGTAAAATAGATTTTTCTTATTTTAATTGTTCTTTACATATAATTGGTAAACGTCTGGGTCTCAAAGAAATAGGTTGGTCATCTTTTAAAATACTACGCATTTCAATATCAGTAGTAGATTTTCCTTTGGCTTCTCTTCCTTTAAGATATTCAGATGTACCAGTATCCAGTTCTTTAGCTTGACGTTTCCCTTGCTGTTTACTCTTACTATTGATATTTCTGTTTCACCAGCATTATATTCAACTAGTTTCTCAGATTCTGAATTCTTTCTTTTTCTAGAACGTTTTGGCCCTGAATTGGGTTTTATGAAATCATTATTTTTTTCATTGCTCTCTTTGATTTCCTGAACTTTCTTAGGTGGAATGTTTCTTCTTCCTTTAGGAATGGGATTCTTCTGTTTCTCTACATTTTGCAACTTTCCTTTCCCGCTTTTAACATCACTTTCTTCTTCCTGAGACTCCTCTTCCTTTAATTCATCTTCACCTGCATCTGTTTCTTCTATAGGGTTTTCAGTTTTATTAGGAATATGAATTTCAATTAAGAGTTTTACTTTGGACTTACATGCTTTATTAATATCCGAACAATTATCTAATCCATTTTCTTGAACAACACTTATATACATTAAATTTGATTCATTTTAGTCTTCATTTTCATCTTCTACTACTTTCATAGATATGCCGTTCTTGTTTATAATAATTTCCATTTGCGAAAGCAATTCGTTTCCAATAACAGCATTTTCTTTCATTGTTCCTTGAGGCACAACATAAATATTTGATTTAATTTCACAACCATCAATTCGTATGGAACCTTTGAAATAACCAATAGGCTTTACTTTATTATTACCAAAATCAAGTCGAAAGAATTAATATTAGGTGAACCAATTACTTTTTAAATATTTTCCGTCAAAATTGTTTACATTTGTCTTATTTTTTGTACATCCTGCAGCTACGTGTCCAAATAAATTACAAAGAAAGCATTTTTTCCCTTGCTCTTATTTTTGCAGAAATTCTCCGCGTGACCAAGATTTCCGCAGTTATATAGACGAATATTTTTTTTTTTATTTTACTTTCAAAATGGTCGCCTCTGGTTTTAGAATTAGGCTTAACGGATTTGTTTTTATCATTATCTAATTTAATGTTTTCATATATCTTAAGTTTTTCCTGAAATTCTGCCTAGCTTTATTAAATGTAGAATCGTTTGTACCATTAATAACATATTAAATTAAAGCGGCGTTTCAATATTACCTTTGGAACATATATTTTTAATTACCAAAACATATTCATATAGAGATTCTTTTTCCTGCATTTTACGTTTTATAATAATTCATGTAACTGAGCAGAGTTATACTGAACACCATATTCGTTTACTAATAGACCCTTATGAGCATTCCACGAATTAATTTTCGTTTCACTTTCAATAAATAATTTTGCTTTGCCAGTTAAAGATCTTTTGACGAATATCAGTTTCTGTAATTCATTTAGTTTTAACAAATTAGATACATCCTCAAAGTTTTCAATAAATTTGTCAACCGAATTATACGGATTACCATCAAATTTAGAAATCAAGCTTTTAATATCATTCAAATTTACATACGCATTTGAAAACTGTGAAAATGGAAATTGAACTGATGACTTACTAATATTTTGTTTTAGCTCATGATCTTCATCAACAGCAGCAAAAGAAGAGTCGTTGAAGTTGGGCTTCCTTCTGAAATATTTTATTTCACCACTTTTATTTACAGATAGAAATATAATTATATTTATATTTATAAATGAGTCAGAGCTTATAGACTCTCTTTTTCATGTATCCGCCCCTAAATTGTATTTTAGGATATCTATTAATCACACTGCATTTTGAATTCGTTATATTAAGATGGATGGCTAGCCATCATCACTGATAAACATCATGTTTCAAAAAAACGAACATGAGCTTATCAGGACTGGTGTTCCTCTTTACTTGCTTTGGAAACATTAACTGTCCTAACTCGGAACAGGGAGCTTACTAAAGCTATGTTCATACAATTGTGAAGTAGACAATACACACAGGAAGGGTAACGAAAACCCTTATTTTTTCTATCTTTACAGATATTTTCCGGACTTCGGAATACAGAGACCAACCACTTGTGGTCTGAACGTAAGAATATAAAAATATTAACTGAAACTCTAACTAAACTAACTTTGGATTAATATAGTGTCTACTTTAAGATTGGCCGATAATTAACAAAAAGCCGTATGTAGTACAGAGCTGCTAAACTACGATACGTTTAAAATTATTAAGAGATTAAACCTCTGGCCTTGAAGGCAACCAGCAAACGAGTAAAACTACTATGGCAAGCGGCCTGCTTCTAATAACTCCTTCCTCTCTCTTGCTTGGCAAAAAGCCACAACTTAAGTACTTGGCGTTAGCAAGACAAATTTGCATAAATAAGTTAAAAGCTTTTAATTCTGGCCGGAAGTAGCAAATAAGAAGTGATAGTAAAGATTTAAGATAAAATAAACGTTAGTAAAACTTAGGATCCTTACAAGCTAACGGAA